AGGGCAGTGAGCATGGCTGTCTGGACATGCCTTTGGATGGAGGGTTATAGGGAAGTGAGGTCAGTATGTCGTGCTGAGGCAGAAACTAAAGGTTTGTCACATCCCTGAAGCAGATGCCTGTAATTCCTACCTTCGGGGGTTTATTTTTAACTCAATAAACATTCCCTGAGTGGGTGCTGCTTATTATGGGCTGCAGCGTGTCAGGCACCAAAACAGGGTGGGTTCTCTTCCATAGAAATCCACTGGCTCGTGAGGCAGGTTGAGTCTGGCTGAAGTTCAGGTACAAATGGAGCACTGTGGACTGGTGGGTATATGGTAACATTGGTAGGAGATTTAGTTTCCTTCAAGCCTCCTGCAGGCAGAGATGTGAAGGGGTGAAGAAGGGATGGACTTCCAGGAATTGGGGGAGCAAAAAGCAAGGAATGGTTCCAGCTCTGCTGGCTCCTCTGGCTCGAAAGGACTGTTAGCTGTGCAGGGAAATAGGGCGGGAGGTGAGATGGAGCGGTGGGGAATGCAGAGGGGATTAGGAGCCACCCTGGCTTCCCGTGGCTCTTTTCCCTATATCACAAGATCCTTCCCATTTTCCTGCTGTATCCTGTCGCTGCGGTCTGAACCCAGAACCCAGGAGAAGGAGAACGGAAATGTTTTTGGCAGAGGACAGTGTGGAAGAGGGGATGGAAGTTCTGTTGACAGTTCTGTGTTGTCCCTGTGAGTGAGAGCGGGGCCCTAACTGAGGGCTCTCGGGGTGTCTCCAGGTCTCAGCTCAGCTATGGAAGCCAGCTGCGGTGTCTGCGGAAACAGTTCCCTTTGGCACGTGTAGCTCGGGAGTCTGACGGAGGTGGGCTGCCAAGAAGAGGGGCTGTTCGAGCAGGTTTGGAAAGCCAGCTCTTGTGGCTCGTGTGAACACGCTCACAAGTAGCAGTTGCCCTCTGTGCTTTAATCAGGAACCAAAGCAGATGCATTGTGATGGGAGCTGAGGTGCATCTCACTGAACAGTGATCTCAAGAGCTTGTTGAAAAACACAACTTAAATGAGACTTTTCTTCCCAGAACCCTGAATCCTCTGTCAGATGAATACTTTCTGTTCCTTTCCTCTAGGAACGAATCCGTTTAGCTCGACAGATTGAAAAAGCTGAGTATCGCAACTTCCAGGCTTGTCTGCACAATTCTTGGATTGAGCAGGCGGCAGCTGCCCTTGAGATTGAGCTGGAAGAAGAAATGTATAAGGGTAAGGGGCAAGACGGACTTGAGGAAGGGTTCGTTCAGCTTGTATCTTTCGTTTTTCCCTTCAGCTTCTGTCTGTTGGAACCTCCCCACCACCATGGGTCCTATCAAAATCGGCAGGATGCCTTTTCCTCCTTTGTGACAGGCCCTAATCTCAGATGAGCCTAAAGCCCTCAGCCTTGGTCTGCTTCTGTCATCGTTTGTCCGGAGCCTATAGTTCCACCCCTCGTGTGGAGAGGCAGTGGAGTACAGTGATGTCAGGCAGGCTCTGTGGCCAGGCTGCATGTGATTGACTGCTGCCTCATCCCTAACTAGCTGTGTGACCGGGTCAAGTTACTTAACCTCTCTGTCGTACCTAGGCTGTCCTCATTTATAAAACGCAGGTCGTAAAGTACCTACCTCATGGGGTTGCAAAGATGGCTTGAGTTAATGAGTATAAAGTGCTTATAACCGTGCCTGGCAAATAGAAAGTGTTGGGTACATTTTAAGTTATTTATTGTCACCTGTCTTCCAAGCTGACAAAGCACTTCTGTCATCATCTCATTTGATCTTCTCCAGCCTCGTGATGTAAACAGAGCAGGAATTGTTATTACATTTGGGAACTAGAGGCTCACAGAAGCGATTTGTGCAGGGAAGGAGCTCCAGCACCAGGTGTTGACTCAGCCCCTGCTCCGAACCTAGGCCAGAGACTAAGGATTCAGGGATGAATCTGTGTGGTCCTTGCTCTGGGAAAGCTCCTGACTCTAAGAAGTGGTAGAACCACATCTAGAACTAACACCAGAATTAGGTCCAGTGCTCTCTCCACCCCACAAGTGGGCAGCTCAGCTGAGGTGTTGGCATCTCGGTGCCAACGCCAACAAATTCAGAGGCAGGCTTAACTGCTCTCTGCTCAGCGTGGAAGCCAGGAACCAAATCACTAGGCTCGATGACAGTCCGTGGTCCTCCTGGTAGCTCAGGCTTGGGGCTAGGGCTGTGATGTGAGGCCCTGGCTTCCCTTCCTGAGGCCAGGCTGGCGTGGAGCCCTCTGGCCATGTCCGCCTCTGCAGGTGCAGTTACAGTGCTGGCGGGGAGATGCAGGGGAGCTGGGCTGCATAGGTGGCTTTCACTGTCTCCTGAGGGGTTTGTAGCCGTCCAGTCACCAAATTCCAGGCAACCAGTGGGGGGTCATAGGAAGAAAAGTGATCTTCAGGTCAGGAGACTGGGGGAGTAATCCCAATTTGGCAGCTAGCTCTGTGACCTTCGGCAAGTGACCTGGATTTCCTCAACTGTAAAATAAAGATAATTCCTGTCTTAGAGGGGTTTTTGGAGGGGTAAAGGACAGAGTGGCCCTGAGCGGTTCTCCTAAACTGTGTTGGAAGTTAGCCAGCACTAGTTTCTGCAGAGAGCTTTCCTCCCCAAGGGTCCCAGAACATGTCCCATCACAAGTATTATCCATCAAGGGACACAGAATGCTCCTACAAGTCCTAGTAAACATGATCTATCTTGAATTGTGTTTCAAGGAGGAAAAGTTGACCAGCAAGAAGAGCGTCGGCGACAAAAGCAGACGAAAGTCCTGAAGAAGGAGCTGCGCCATTTACTCTCCCAACCGCTGTTTAAAGATGACCTGAAAACCAGGTATCCCACTCAGTCTGGCAAGCTGCCCGAGCTCGTGTCCGCCCCAAGAAACGGCGAGTCTGCGCTGAGCTGCCTCTCCAAACAGAAGAAGAAGAAGAAGAAGCAGCCGAAAGAGCAGCAGCAGGAACAGCCACGGCCAAGCACAAGTGCAGGCTAACCGCCCCCCAGGTCAGAGTCTGCTGGTGACCGCACGTTGTGTCTGTGTCCTCTGGTTGTACGGAAAACCTTCGCACCTTTGACTTCACGCCACTGTCAGCCCCAGTTACAAAAATCTCTCTTGCACACACCACCTCCCACAGCAGGAGAGACCTCATGCAGATCTGTGTTGTTTCACAGTACGAATTCTATGTATACCATCTTATATATTTCTGCGTTCCAGTGTTCACAGGCTCCTTGTATGGTTAACTTGATTTCCTCAATTAAAAACAGTGGTCAGAAGCAGCGCATTTTCTTGAGTTTTTAGCCAGGATATGGGGACACAGTCATAGTCCTCTGGCTGCAGGATGCACGCGGGGTGCGTCTCACTCCGCTGCACGGTGTGGATAGAGCGAGAGGCTGGTGAGCTTCGCAGGTCACTGTAAAGTCATTTCTGCCTGGGTCCGCAACGTGTGTTCCCGTTTTTCTCCACAGAAGAATCCTAACAGCTCCTTAGCTCTACCGCACAGCTGCTGTCTTGTCTTAGCCTCGCTGGGAGGTGGGCAGGGAAGAGATTGCCGGCTTCCAAGAGAACACAGCTTCCGTGACATCACAGAGCCACGTGTGGGGAAGCCAGGAGCAGTCTGCTGAGTCTGGCTGTGAGGCACCTGGGATCTGGCCCTGGCCAGTCTCTCCAGCCTCGTCTCTCTGCTTCCTTCCTCTGTGTGACAGAACTGGTTGCTGCCCACGGTCTCACGCCCCCATTCTTTTGCCCTGAGCCTTTGTCCAAGCTTTTCCTTGGCCTGTTTGCCTTTTCCTGCCCCTGAGCACTGCTGGCCCCTGAGACCCAGGAGGTGATGTGTTCCTCTCGTGAGCTCCCACAGTACCCAGGCTCACCCTCTTCACGGCACTTGCCACACTGGTCTCCGGCACCTTGCTGAGCTCCCTGCGGGCAGAAGCTGCTTATTACTCCTTGCAGCCCTTGCACTTAGATCAGGGCCTGGTGGAAATATGTGCTGAGGGAACCCGAGGCCTCCCGGTGCCACCGCAGCTTCCTCTGGGTCAGCCTGGGTGAGTAGCCACAGTCATGGGAGAAGCACTGATTTCTGCACAGCTAAGTCTGGGCTTCTAAACAGACGTTCCCTTGGCCTCATGGTTGGCAGCTGTGTTCCCTCGGTCCCTGTGGGCAACTGCAACAGGGTAGTTGGCCTAAACTCAGATTCAGATATCACTGAGTGTTGGTTAGGTACTTTTATCTACTTCGATTGTCATTTGGTTTTTCCATCAAGGCCCTGGGACATGAGTCTTATAGTACCCTTTTTTGCAGTTGAGAAAGCTCACTGTGAGTGGCTAAGACTTGCTCAGGGTCACACGGCAGTCAAGTGGCAGAGCTGGGATAAGAACCTTGGGTATTTCCTTGTAGGCCCAAGGGAAGTTCAGAAAACTGCTTTGGTTTTAAAAGTCAGCAGTGTTGCCAGAGCCTGTCTCCCCAGTGTCACCAGTGACTGGGAGAGGAGAATGCAGAAGAAAACAGCCCTAGTCTGTGAAGCTCCTGAGTGACAGCTATCAGAGGATGGCAGGGGGGCTCTCCATTTTCCAAATGGTACAGTGGAAGTATATGCAGGGTCAGGGTCCCTTAGCAGCACCTGAGCCATGAGCGGCCTGAGGATATTGTCACAGGCCAAACAGAGCCACTAATGTCCTGTGACAGCCTGTCCTTGCCCTCTAACAGCAAATTCCTTTTTGTGGGGTAACATGTTAAAGAGCTAGGTTTTAAAAGATAGGGCCAGCCTCCCTGACAGTTTTGCTGTCTGACCTGATGAGGTGAAGCTTTGGTGAGGCCTGTGGTGCCTTTGGCACCTCCAGCCCAGCCCAAGGACAGAATTCCCTGAGTGTCTGGACCTTTCACTAAACAAGGATACTCCTACCCGTGCTAGTCCACTCACACGTACAAGCCCCATGGGATAGTAGTATTGATTTTTGGTGCATGCCAGGTACCAACTATTAAGAAGCCAGGACGAACAGTTGTCATGGAAACCATTTTAATGCTAGGAAAATGTTTTTACCCATTGCCCAAGGAAGCTGTGGGCCTGGCCTACGTCCCACGGGACAAGGGGCCCCTGGGGAACCATTTACTGAGCCACAGCCCCTGCCCCTATTTCCGCTCAGCACGGGAATGCGTTTGGTCCTTAGACTTCTTCCCTGTTTGGGAAACCACAGTGCCACTGCCAAGGTGGCGTGTTTTCCCATCTTGCAGTGTTCTGCCGCAGCCCGCTGGGAAGGGTCCGTGGGGGGAAGAATCCCACTTGCAGGGCGCTCGCTAGGCGCCAGGTCTTGTGATTGTTTTCACATGTAATCTTGTTCCACTTGAACCGCTAATTCTGTGCCGTGTTGTCTCCATTTCACTAATGTGGGAACTGGAACTTGGAGGTGAAGGGACTTGGTCAAGGTCATATAACTAGTTAGTGGCAAAGCTGAAGATCTGAACCCAGGCAGCCTGGCTGCAGAGCCACTCTGTGCTTAAAGTAGGAACCAAAAGCAAGGACAGTGGTTTTTGTTGCCAGATATTCGCACTGGTTTGTAAAGTTCCCTTTGGAAGGAAGGTAACACATGTGCAGTTGTAAAGACAAACTCTGAAAGCAACCTTCCTTCCAGCTTTTGGTCTGCAAAGAGAAGGCTTTGTGGGGTGGGTGAAGAATTACCCAGGAAGTGTGATTGCGGGCGTGACTGGCTGCGGTACATAAGCAGGGCAGTGTCCACGGGTGACTGGATTTTACATTTGTTACTTAAAGCTTCTCAGAATTCTGCCGCTCCTTTCCTCCATAGTGCTTTCCCTTCAGAGGCAAGATCTGAGGGCAGATGTGAAGGGAAGAGAGCAGTGGTTTGGATTTGCCCAATGGTTTTATGAAAAACGGGAGAGCAGAGAGGAAGGTCATGAAAACAGCCTGCCTCTCTTGGGCATTCTGATTCTAAACTGATAGGATCTCTCTTGGGAAGAGGGTCCCACATGAGCACTGGCAGGCTCTCCGGCCTGGAAACACAGCACAGACACACCTCGGGGAATTTCTCCAGCCTGTCTGCCAAAGAGAAAGCTTTGCTTTTGTGAATGCTACACAAGCTACAAATGCAGTTAAGTGGCCGCCAGTGCTGATTATACTGTGCTCGAGAGCCCAGCTGGAGGCCCAGGACCCATCTCACAACTGCTCAGAGCAGCCAAGATTCAGCTCAGTGTCCTTCAGTTTGGAAACAGGGATCGTGATACTCACAAAACATGTAACATGTTACCCCACTCTTACAGTGTACTTGTCACAGCACTCCTGTCCAGTGATCAGAGATCAGGGTCAGCTTTACATTCCTGCGAAAAAGTGACAGTCACTTAGCTTGAGCCCTTGGGGTCCAAGTTCCAGCCAAGGGCAGTATGGGAACCTGGGTCCCTGCCTGGCATTAAAAGCACCCTGACATCAGTTTTCACAAAGGCGGAAGACTGATACCAATCTGACATTTGTATACAAGGGTTGGGAGCAGTCTGTCACCCAGTCCTCCTGGTGCACAGTTTGCCTGTCGGCAGACACCACAGCCTGGCACTGCAGCACCAACAGGTTCTAACAAACCCCTGCAGAACGGAACGTGTGAGGCCTTCGATTAAGGAAGGCAGTTCCACACCCTTGCATTCTCCATTTCTTCCCAGAGGAAGAGAGCTTGCTGGCAGCGCCCCAGCCCAGCCAGGGCTCCTCGAGATCCTGAGGCAGCAAGGTGAGGAGGTTATTAAGGGGCGTACGTCCAGGTGGATGAACAGGGAGACCGGCGAGCGCCAGGGCTCTTGGCTACCAGGCGGTTTCCCCAGAGGTGATCTCCCCACGGCCAGTCTCCTCGGCTTATCTCTGTCCTTTCCCACTAACCTCTAGCCAGCCCGTAAGCCAAACAGAAGCGGGGGAAGGGGAGAGGAAGCCAAAGACAGCCTCAGAACACCTTGTGTGTGCTGCTCAGCTGGCGTCTACGGCTGCACGTGCTGATCGATGTCTCCACCCGGCTGAGGATCCATGTTCTACTTGCAGGATGTGTTGGGGACGATGAGACACCTTCTTGGCCCCAGACCTTAGGCTTTCTCAGTGTCTGTCCAGGTGGGGCTGGCGGCAGAACCCTGCAGGGCTGCCCGCCAGAAAGCAGGCAGTCCTGGCCCTGAGGGAGATAGAGGGGCCCGACAACTCGGGCTTCACGCTGATGGCTACAGGCCTCTTTCTAGACTTTGGCATAAAAGTATCTTTTTCCTCAAGTTAGGGGTAAGAAAACAGTCATGAATGCTTGGAAGTACACTGAAGCCCTCGCATTCAAATTGGCCTCAATTCACCGTGTGCCCAAGTCCAGTCCAACAGCTGACTGGACTTGATTTTTTATAGAACTGGTAAGTCACTCAAGACAGCTGATCTTGGGCTTTTCTTCTCCTACAGAGAGGCACTGCCCCTGGTGAAAATAAACCAGAGGACCCCATTTTTATACCACAATGGAATGTCAACACTGGCAGGAACCTCCTCCAGATGAAGAATTGGGCCCAGAGAGAGGAGGTGTCCTATGCAAGGTCTCAGAACTGGGGTAGAGCCAGGGCATATGGCTTCCTAGCCCAGAGTTAGAAAACATTTGATCCTCCATGAAAATAAATATTAAAAATACGGCCAAGTTACCACCAGTCCATAGTGAGTAGACCTTATTCCCAGTGACTTTGCCCAAAAGGCTGCACATTTTCTAACTATAGTCTAAATCGCTTAGAAAAATTGAAAAGCTGCAATGTTCCATTCAGAATGCAGTCCCGTAGGGCTTCCCTGGTGGCGCAGTGGTTGAGAGTCCGCCTGCCGATGCAGGGGACGTGGGTTCGTGCCCCGGTCCGGGAAGATCCCACATGCTGCGGAGCGGCTGGGCCCGTGAGCCATGGCCGCTGAGCCTGCGCGTGCGGAGCCTGTACTCCGCAGCGGGAGAGGCCACAGCAGTGAGAGGCCCCCGTACCGCAAAAAAAAAAAAAAGAAAAAAGAAAAAACGCAGTCCCATTAGGTGACAGGCTCCACTGCATGGTCTAAAATTAATCAACGTTTATCGGCTGTATAAAGGATGTTGTAGTGGGACGTTTTATAGAGCAGGTAAACGGAAGGGACGGCACACTCGGGGAACACGTGGTGGTTCAGGGCCGTGTCCATTTCGTCCACATACTCCACCTGCAGGGCAATGTTCAGTGCCTGGGACAGGGCCGTGATCTGGATGTGGTCACACTCCGTGGCCATGGGCTCTACTTCCTGCAAAGGTCACAATGAAAAAACAACCCAGTTGAGGATGGAGGCCTGGCAGAGGACAAGTGAGAGGTCCAACCCTGGCTTTCGTGGTCCTAGGTCAAAACCTCTGCGCTGGGAAATAATCTCCACAACAACCTGTGAGGCAGATGTTGACATCTGCATTTTCTAGAGGAGGAAACGCAGGCTCACTGAGGAGGTAACGGATAGACATTGCCACAGTTGCAAGGCTTGAATCTAGATCTTTTTGATTCTGGACCCCCTAGTTGTGAGAAGAGGACACTACTTTGAAGAATCTGGAAAGGGGGGCAGGAGTTTTTCAGCTAGGGCTTCCTAATGCACAAAGTCAAAGAATCTCAGCAGAAAGGGACTTTATCATAAAGGGATTTCAAGCTTACGTGCTTACAGAGGGCTGGGTGAGCGAGTGGGTGAGTCAGTGGAGACACAAGCTGCCTACTGAGTCCCAATGACTAGGGCAGCTGCCACTTAGCTCCTGCTGGTTACTGCCGGGCAAGAAGAAGGCCTGGGAAGAACTTCCCTGGTGGCGCAGTGCTTAAGCTCTGGGGTTGCCACTCTGTAATTTTGTGAACAGTCTAGTCCAAAGCCCTTATTCCTCAGATGAGAAATCTGAGGCCCAGAGAGGGAAAGTGACTTGCCCAAAGCCACACAGTTTGGGCAGAAGGAGGATGTGTTCCGGCTTGCTAACCTAGTGCTCTTTGAATTGCAATGTAGACATGACATCCAGGTCCCCTGGTTAGGGAATGCTGGTGCTAAAGTCTCCTAAGGAGAGAGGGATGAGAGCGGAGCCCAGGGCCAGAGGCCGAGTCCCCAAAGCCTGGGCCCCGAGGACCTACATGAGTGCAGAAGTCTTTGATGTCCATCTCCTCATCGATGAAATGTTGGAAGAAGTCTCCGCGGTTCCTGATGAAGGCTGACGTGAGCAGGCGCAGGAACTGCACGATTCGGTCCGAGGAGCTCTGGTCGTTGAACACCTTCAGCAGGCTGGACACGGAGCTGTCCTTCTCCACGAGCTCTACCACACTGTAAAACTGCAGCCCTTGGGCCCTCAGCCAGGGGACGGGCAAGCCCCGCCCCTCCCTCCACGGGCATTTCCATCTTCAAATCCTCAAGTTGAGGCGCCAAAATCAATCAATCAGATCCCGCCAAAGCTCAGTAACAGGGTTAGAGAGATTCTGTAGCGAGTCCCTCAGCCCGGAGTCACGTCTAAGGAGCAGCGGTTAGTCTCCCTCCTCATTGCCGTGGTTGCAATTCTTATTTACAGATTCAGAACTGACAGTCTTCCAACCCCACCGCCTTCACTAGTGGGGTCCGGGGAATGGGGTGGAGAGGGGAGGGGCTGAAGGAGGCTGGGGGAAGTTTCCAGCCTGAGAGCTAGTGCCCCAAAGGAGGTACCTCCTCCCAGAGAGACGGCAGGGCCCTGGGCTCCCTGTTCCCTCGGTGTCCCCACAAGCAGGAAGCAACCCTCAGCCCTTCCCCAGCTGGGAGGAGCCAGAGGGGCGCAACCACAGAGCCCTGGGCGGTGAGGGGACTCCGGCCAGTGCCCGCTCCTGTCTGCTCTGCCAGCGAGGGAGGACCTGGCCCCTCAGCTGTCGTGCCCAGGTTAACTCACAGCATTAAAGAAGTTTTGGAACTTGTGCTCCTCGAAGCCAGCAGCCAGAAGGTCGTTTGGGGTCTGCAGTACACGCTCTTTGAACCTGGAGGGGAAAGACTGGTACTTACAAGGACCTGCAGGGGGCGCTGCTGTGACATCAGCTGTCATCCCACTCACCCACCAACCCCATACACACCTGAGAGGGTACGTGTCATTTTTCTACTAGGACTTTTTTTCTAGTAGGACTTTTCTACTTTTCAAAGCACTTCCACGTGGACCACACACTGATTTGTTCCGTCCTCCCCTGTACAGTCATGGGAGGTGGGTATTATACCCATTTCACAGATGAGGAAATTGAGGTAATCACCACCCACTCCCAGATACATTGATTCTACCTTTCGAAGGTCTGTTGACTCTGTCCCTCCTTCCTGTCCCCATGGTTCCTGGTGTGTCAACACCATCTCTGGCCTGGGCCACACCCAGCCTTCCCTCACTCCTGGTCCCCTCTCCACAGGGACCTTAGAGTGACCTGCCACAGCCTTCTCCCTCAGGACACAGCTCCTCAGCACAGGTGTCCTGGAAGGGCCCCTGCCGAGCTCAGCAGCCTCATCTCTAGTCAAGTCTCACAGCTTCCCTCACACCCCACAGTCACTACCCATTTGCGTTTTCACCCCTTAGCCTCCGCTGTCCCCTTAGCCAGGGATGCTCTTCTCAGAGGCGTGCTAGCGCTGGTTTGTACCTGCTCACAAGAGCTAGTCGTTAAATTTATGCATTTTGCCATCCAGGTGTTAAACGGCCATTATTTAAGAATCAAGTTATGTAAACTTAAATAACTTTAAAACACAAATTATAATCTATGCTCTTGAGGTAATCTTTGTCTATTGGGCGTGGATGGTGGCAATATGATTTGGACTATAGCATGTGTTACGTATCTCTTCCCAACTCCCTGTTCAGTGACCCCATGATGGTAGCTTGGAAAAAAAAAATCATGACAAGAGTATTTATACTACAGAAATCAACTCGCACCACAAATCAGGCCTCCCGGCCAAACAGCCACTAAACTTCTGCCAGCACTGACCATCCCTCGAGACCTGGTCCAGGGACCCCTGCTTTGTTAGTGCTCCCACTGCAGGCCCCCCACTGGCAAGGCCCCATCTGGGACCTGTCCTGGTCCCCTTGGGGATGGCGAGGAGCTGCCCCAGGACACAGAGTTCAGCAGCAGAGATGAGATACAGTCCAAGTGATTGGTCCACAGAAGGGGGTGCATCCCCCGCAAGAAGGACCAAGTGGAGAGGCTCTGGGGGACCAGCTGGCACGGGCGTAACCGCAGCCTGTCCCCTGGGAGGGGAGACCAGACTCTAGGGTTTTCACGAGGGACTAAAGGCACAAGGAGAAAGGCCTGGGAGGCTTAGGTGACTTGTGGGGCAGGGGAGGTGAGGGGAGGGTGGTGTGTGTGAAGTGGAACCATCTAACCTGGGAGGTGAGGCGCTTCTGCCGAAAGGCAAACCACCAAAGGCTGGGCCGGCCGGCGTACCTGAGCCGGTTTGGCCAGGGCAGGTGTAGGAAGGAGTGCTGTGCTGGGAGCCGCAGCCCTGCTGCTAAGTCGCTCTCCGGCTTTGGGCCATAGGCTCCCCTTTCGCATGGCATGGGTGATGGTAACAGGCCTCCACGAGGGGTGCTGGGAGGGCCCCTCTGGCCACTGTTCTGTGAGGCTGTGAATGTGCACAGCTCTGTTCCCAGCTTTCCTACCTTCTCACCCTTCCCCTCCCTGGCCACACACTCCTGAGCCCCTGCCGCATCCCCCCACTCATTCCTCACCAACGACTGCTGGCCCCGCCGTGCCAGCCCTGGAGACACAGAGATGGCGACACACAGACCCAGTCAAGCGAGGGACGAACACCCAGGGCAGGACTCCCGCCCCGACGAGGTGAGGGAGGAGAAGGACGGAGTCAGGACTTGGAGCACAGGCCCTCTCAGCCACACGCCAGCTTTAGTGGGACCTTGGGCAAGTCACTTAACCTTTCTGAAGCTCGGTTTACTCATCTGTAAGATGGGGTAACACCCTCCTGGTACTTCCCACTGGACCCCACTTGGACGGCTCACGGGGATTTCGGACTTAACAACATGGAGCTCCTGCTTTTTTAACTCTCAGGCCAAACCCCGGGCACCCATCCTCGACTCCTCTCTCTGCTCACACACCCCACTCCAGCCACGAGTGAATCCTGTTGGCGCCACCCCTGCAGGGCTCTGCGATCGACCTCCACCTGCTCAGGCCACCGTCACCACCCCTCCTCTGGGCTCTCCCGGATCACGTCCCCTGCTGCTCCCTGGCTGCGCGCCACTGCACTTATCCTGCACGCAGCAGGCCGCACATCAGGCCCCTCGCTCTCTTGAACCCTCTGTGGCTCCATCTCATTCAGGCCGACATTCAAGGTCCTTAAAAAGGCCCGTGAGGCCCTACCCCACCTGCCCCCGCTACCTCTCCAACCCCTACTTAAAACTGCAGCCTCTACCCTGGACAACCTGGCCTCCTTTCCTGCCTGAATTTTCCTTCCCACAACGCTTATCACCGTCTGACACATCAAGTACGCTTCGTATCCACTGTCCCTCTTTTCCAGTTAGGATGCCAGCTCCACAGGCAGGGTGTTTTGTCTCTCTCGTTTGCTGCTGCATCCCCAGGGCCCACAACACAGTCTGCGTGTGGCACCCAGTTGGGCGATGGTTGCAGGAGCAAGGGGGCCCCGGACGGAAGGCAGGGTAGAAACCTGCCTCGGCGAAGGAGTTCTGGTGCCGGAGTCCACGGTTCAACCACAGGGGCTCTGTGACCTGTGGCCACTCTGCACTCTTTCCCAGGGTATGTGGGGAAGGGTGTCTGACAAGGAAGCCCGGGGTCTTCATCCAATCCTGTAAGGGCTGTGAGACCTCCAAGGGCAAGAAGCAGCTCTCAGCTCCTTGCTCCCCAGCAGGGTCCGAGGCCCAGCGGCAGGGGCGGCTTCTCCGGGAGCTTGTGAGAAATGCG